TTATTAAAAGTATATTTAAATGAATTTAATTGTCGATTACAGAGCTCTACTGTTAGGAGTGGTGGTCATAGTGTTCTCATGGATTCACAACAACTTCCGTATAGTGGACCTACCGTTGCACTCGGTGTGGACCTGGATCTTCTCCCTGCTGTTGGTTGAGTTCACCTACTATTGGACCCATAGAGCTCTACACGAGATCAACATCCTATGGGCTGCCCATCAGTTTCACCACATGGCAGAGGACGTAAACATCACCACAACCATCAGGGACTCGGTGGTCGACCTCATCCTATACGATGTGAGTATTGTTTTTGAGATCCCGTTCCCATGTCTGAATTACGCGATTATATCCATAGATATTCCCGCTGCCACTGGCGATGATAGTGCCGCCGCCCATACTGGTGGTGCACATCCAGTTCAGTCTCATATACCAGATATGGCTGCACAATGAGGTGATCGGCCACTTGGGCCCCATTGAGTACATAATCAATACGCCCCGTCAGCATCGGGTTCATCACGGAAAGAACCCCTACTGTATCGACAAGAACTACGGGGCACTCCTCATGATATGGGACAGGATTTTCGGCACATATCAGGAAGAAAAGGAGAAAATCGTATTCGGAGTCGTGTCGCCCACCCCTAACACCTATGACTCCATGACCCTTCAGTTTGGCTACTATAATGATGTGGTCAAGAAGTTTAATAGTGTCGATGGTTGGGGTAATAAGATGTCGGCGCTGTTTAAGGGCCCCGGATGGGCACCAGGGAAGCCTAGATTGGGACTAATTAAGGAGGTGCCTGAGCCCGACCCGGCGGCTCCCAAGTACTCGTACGACCCCTTCATACCGTTGTGGCGAAAGTTTTATGTCTTATTTCACGGCACCATTGTGTTGGTGGCGTTCATACAACTGGCCGATCACCCATATATTGTATGCATTTCTACACATACCTTACCCTCAATAACTTAAATACTGCACATTAGGACACTTTGATAATTAAGATGAGACACAAAAATATAATATTTAATTAATAAAGTTTAACTCATGATTTACAAAATGTAAAACATATAATGAATTACACAATAATTATAATTATTTTTATAGCGATATTCAGCGCTAAAAGGTTTGGCCGGAATAGTGTACATCGTACTGTTTCTCACATCTGTAGGCGCTTTATTTGATTGCAGGTATGGCCCCAATAGTATGCTAATTATACAAAGTTATTTAATTATCTAGATTAATCATTTATGTAGGAAATTTGCACCGTTACTCGAAATAGTTCGCTGTGTTATCTACTTTCCTGTCGACTACTATTTGGTAGACTCTGTCCACTGGGCTATCGATGCCAATGAGAAGTTCGTGTTGTCCTCATCGCTGTGGATGGTCCGGGTATCGCACATATTGTCCATATTTTTCTGGTTGGGTTACACGCTGTTTAATAAATACGAAAAGCCATCCAAACCCAAGTTAGGCCTAAAGGACATGGAGGGACACGACTCTAATGAAAACCCAAGTGATAGCATGTTTGAAAAGTGTCTGTTTGCGTTGGGTATATTGACCATGTTCATTTCAGTGGGCTTTTTGTATACTTATAATATTGATAGTTGTAAGGATGTAACCCATGCTGTAATTATGTGGTATAAGAAAAATGTGTTTGGGTTTTTGTATGATTAGATTAGTTTGTGCCTGCTAATTATGCTGTTATTTAAGATTAACCTATTGTATGACATAAAAGACATTTTATGTAATTATGATTAATATTATTTGTTGGTTAAGTTTACTATTATTGTTTTAATAATTTAAATAAATAACTTATAAAGCTCAATTTGTATTATCTAAAATTTTATATTGTTGTAAATTATAATTATATGTTATTAACATTCTATTTAAAAAATAAATATTGAAAAATATTTTTAATTATAAATGCAAACTATGAAAAGAATTTAATTTTTAGTTATTATTAAAAATAATGAGTAACTTATTAATATTAACTGGAGTGCTAATTGCATTTTAGAAAATAAATTACATTTATTAAATTACAAAAAATTAGTGTTAATAAGTTATAAACTAATAAATTTTAATTAATATTTTAAAGATAAATTATTTTATAAAATATTTTCTTATATTTTATCAAATTGTTATGAATAAATATTTAAGTTCATACTGTTCATGAAAAAATATTGAAAGTTGTATTAAATTAAATTGATATACAATAATATATCAAGAAATTTATTGAGCTTTAATTTGCTTATTTTCTTTCCTATAAGCTTGTATATAAAAATTTAGAAATAATAGGAACAGGGCCGTTGCATTGCCTATATTGGATGCGTGATAACCAGCCGGGATATCAGTGGACTTCAAGTAGACAAGATTAAACCAAACGAAAGCAATTGTCATTTGTATCAATTGCATCTGGGTGATGTACTTTTTCCACCACAAATATTTCTGGTACTGGGGTCCCAGCGCTGCCAACGCATAGTAGCCGTACATTACGACGTGAATGAAGCCATTCAATAGTGGGAACATGTATTCTGTGGGCATATCTGTATAAAAATTAATTATAAATTAATCAATAATTAAAATAATAATAATTAATAATTAATAATTAACTAGTGTAAAGCAAAGTTACTTAAATTAATTGCAAGATCATTAGGGTATCAGCGGTAATTTTGGTGATTAATAATTAAGACTTATAGTATTAAGGTACTGAATTATTTTAAGATAATAGAGTTATAAATTATAAAATATACATTACATGGATTATATTTCATATACGCCCACCCTGCTGCTGGAACTGATACGTGATGCCAGACATGGAGAACAGAAATGTGCGAGTTCTTTTTCTTTAATGCCATAAAATATGTGTCCAATAAGTCGATCAGTTTAGACAAGTAATACAAATGAGCCGTATTTATGAACTGAATGGCTTTGTCTGAGGTATCGGTCTTAGGGTTACGGAAGTCCCACATATCGGCGATGTGTCCCAACGCATAGAACCAGAAATAGGCGTTTATCGCCACCTAATCAGGATAATTTTCATATTATATATTTAATTCTATATATGGTTCTTTAAATATATACCAGTAACACGTCGTACGCAATGATAATTTTCTTTAAGTCAAATGGTTTTCGGTTTTTCATGAGATATGGTATGAGAATTGTGACATGAAATATGTACATGAACATAACAGAGCCAATTGTGGTCATAGACCAGTCCACCAAAAAATATCCCCGAGTACGGGGATCGACACCTTGTTCCCAGTAATCATGAAAAAAATAAAATAAGAAACTGTCGCGACCAACCACCCAGCTCAGTAAGCCAACGATCCACCCGTCCAATGTTAATTCTAACGACATTTTTTATATGTTATACTTATTCAAATGAAAGTGCACTAAATAATAAAGTTTTGAATTATTTTTTGCACAGTGTGAAAAATTGAAAACAAAGTTATTTATATAGGCGATAAAATAGGGTTTCTACTGCAAATAGATGTTGAGATTCATTGCCAACTTGTCAACAGGTTTTTTGTGATACTTTTAATTTTATTATAGTAATTTATATACTTACCTGTGTGTTCAATTAGTTTATTATTTTCTTGATGCTTAATAAATCTTTGTGAAGTTTTTAATAGTACTAAAATACTTTCAACAGTTGCTAATAATAGCAATAATTACTTAAGATAAATAATTAATTAGCGCTTAAAATGTTATAATACTGGATAAAAATAAATATTTTATTATTTAATATGCAATAAAGTTGATATAAATTAGATTTAAATTTAGTTGTAATCAACAAATAAACCATGCTAGGATACATATGAATATTATATTTAATTTTATAATGATAAAAGTATAATAAAATGAAAAGTAATCTAATATAAGTACTTAATTATAAAATTATAAGATAAAGTATTTCGTAAATTTGTACTAAAATAATTATCGTAAAATGAATAATTTATAATTTACATAATAATTATAATTTATAAGTAATAATAATTTTTATAAAATTAGAATTTATAAAAGTAAATTGAGTTTTTAAAATAGATTGATGTAAATATTTATTTAAATAAAGTTGGCTTTCCCTCATTTTCATAAATTATAAAATTTATTTTTGGGTTTATTATATAAACTTTATATAAAGCGTTTAACAGGTAATTAGTACGATTTTAATTTGTAATTACTGGTACAGTTTGTTATAGATTTATATAAATATACATTTATTAGATTTTTTTGGTACAGGAAAATGATTAAGAATAATGAAATTTCAATTCATAGTTTATAAAATTTTGATACCCTGGTTATGGGTATCACACTAGTAGGCGGACATTTGTAAAATGACACAATTTAATAATTAAGAAAATAAACGATTTTATTATAGAGTTAAATATTGAATTTGTAAAATATTTAATATTAAGCAATATTAAACCATTATAAATAATTAAAATATAATAACCGCCACTATAAAATTATAGAGTTTTTATTTGTTTATTTCCCAGATTATAAGCCTGTATATAAAAGTTTAAAAATAATAGGAACAAGGCAATTGCGTTTCCCATA